AAAAAAAAAAAAAAAAACCAATGAGCTAAGGCAAAGAGTTTTTCATATTGTCCAAGGACCTATAGTGTAGTTTTTTTCTGAATACTAGTCTTTTGTTCTGCTGCTGCTGTTGCTGAAAACATGTGAATCTTGAGTAACATTTATGTTAACTTCATGCCTAAGAGTCTGAAAAGCGGATGATTTTACTCCCCTCCCCTTAGATAAAAGCACTTTTAATTAATTCTATAGTAGTGCTTGAAATATTGCCTGTTTCTTGTAGGGGTTATTGCGTGAGTTGTCTGCTAGGAACATCAGAGGTGTGGAAACCCCACATCCCCCAGGACAGTGCCTGGTGCAACCGAAGACCTAAGCAGTAAGGAGGGAAGGTCCATACTCTTATTGATCGTATCCTTTGAACATCAGTGAGAAATAGACTCTTTGATTGTAGTTTGTGGCGCCATCCTTTGCAACAAGTTGCCTCCTGGAACAAAGGAGGAATCCGACTTTGGTGAATTTCACCTTCAAAGCATCCAAGGGCCATACTGAGGAAATGATCCTCATTAACCTAATCCTGTTCCCTCTTTTGCAACAAGATCGGTCAGAAATCAGGCATGGAAAACGACAGTTCTCTGCTTCTGGCATCAGAAGGCAGGCATGTCAGGGTATTTCACACGCTGCCGGAAGGTGCATTAAGTGGTGGCAGTAATTCCCAGGTCTCCAACTGGTTTTTTATACCAAAAAGGAAAATACTTAAAAAAAAAAAAAATTCTAGCAGTTTTTTTTTTAGTCATCTGGGTGTTCTTGAAATGATTTAGTTTTTACCCCACAAAATAGAATTACTGTAACATCCACTTCTCTACCGGAGCTTTGCTTCTTTGCAAACACTCAAAATAAAACTTTCAACAGGGAGCAATCTCGGAAGGCAGCCTCCTGCTCCTCAAAAACCAAGAGACAAAATAACAAAGCAGAGCCTGAACAAGTCACTTAGGCTGGCTCCACCGGTCCAGCCCCTCAGAACCACCTCCTAATGCATGCACACACCCTGCCCAGCTGCCCAGCTCCAAGACAGAAAATAGAAACTGAAATTGGAGTTTGTTGTCATTTACCTTTGACTGAATAATCCCCTTTAAGAAATCAGCTTGCAGACCCAGAGATTCTGTCTTGGGGAAGCAGGCTCTGTGCACCCAGGAGACAGACACAGCTCCTTCTCAGTGACACTGCTTCTAAAGCCTCTCTGATATTTATAAAACATGACAGTAAACAGAATGAAGAGAGAATGGCCATTGCAAAAGGGATAATAATCAGCAATAAGGCAATACTCAGTCTCCACTGAAATCTCATTGGCCATTTTTTGAATATAGCTCCTAAGGGGATATTTTGAATATTCAGACAAACCACCCCACCCCTCACCTCCTGCTGGTTCTCTACTAGTGTTTATACTCTGTCCTGGCAACACCATCTCTGGGCACTAAGGAGAATCATATCACTTTTTTCTTTTAAATCTCCTTCCTTTTCATGTTTGCCCTCAAACACCTGGACCAGTGTACAAGGAAAAGAGGATAAAAGAGAAGAATTGTTTGTCTGGGAGCTTAGAACGTTTCACTTTTGACCCATGCAATCATTGACTAAAACACAGTGATTTGTAGTTACAAGGCAGGTGCTGGTGTTTGTGGGAACCTAGCTTAAATGTTTCAGGGTAACCTTTCCCCAGGGTCCTCTCTGAACAGGGCAGTTCTGTTACATTGGCGATACAGGAACAATGGTGATGCAAACCCTTATTCATTGGTCCTTTGATGTCACCTACTTCTCAAGAAGAAAGCCAGAACCGCTCCTCTTTACTGTCTCTCAAACGTGTACTTTTAATCCCCGTTCTCTACCGAAAGCAGTAAATAATATAAAAATAAAACAAATGGTATCAGCAGTAAAAGTAGTAGAACCAACAATAACAGGAATCGCCTTGCATTTCATTTGCTGTGGGCTTTCTTGGTGCCAGGAATCTTTCTAAAGGACTTCTGTGAAGTATCTCCTTTAATTCTCACACACTATGGTGTCTCTTTTCCACCTGGACTTGCCTTCCACCTTCATCTGTGTTTATATAAATTCTACCCACTCTTAAGTCTCCTCTTGAATTGCTTCCTCCTCGAAGCCCCCCTTGACCCATCTCTCCTCTGAGTTCCAGTCGTGCCAAGGAGTGTAACTGTCTTCTTGCCACTTAATCTGTCTTCAGCTGCTACTTCAGTACGTGCCTAGGAGATATCTAATAGTCATTAAGCTCCTTGAGGGAAAGGAATGCTTGATTTCTGTTTCCCATTCCCCAGAAATCAGCACCATGCTAGACGTACTCAATAAATGTTTACTACACAAATGAAGTGTGGTATTCTGTTTCTGTCAACTGCCCACATTTTGTCAGATTGGCTAATAGAAAGCTTGCTCGCTCTGTAACAGAGTTGGGGGAGTGGGTATCTTATCAACCATGACTGCACATGGCAGCCTCTGCCTTGCCTCGTCTCTACGCTCTGTACTGGCCAAAGTCCTTCTCTGCAGGAACATTCGAATCATCCTTGTCTCATTTCTAAGCCAACATGACCAAGGTAAGTTATGGATGCCAGTGGATGGGGTATGGAATTCGTTGTGGTGCCATAGACTAGAACCTAGTACTGATTTAGGCCGGAGAAACCGTACTTACCGCGTTGCAGCCTTACTAGTCTCCGCAGTCTTGTTTAGTCCACACACCTGGGCTTCTGACTTAGTTTCCTGCTTAGCCTTCAGGTTCGCCTCTGAACTCCAAAGCTCTCTTGGCAGGAGAAAAGACATCCCTGTGTAAATATGGTTAGCTTTTCCTTCCACAGGCTTAGACCTTTTCCCTTCTTCCCATTTCCACCCCCAAAGTCTTACCGCCACTCCCCACTGCTCTAGCCTACTCTGCTGTGTAACCATGTCCTTGGATATAGGCAAGAAGGTTAGAGGTGAGTTCGCCACCCCCTTCCTCTATCATTGGCTTCATGTTACCAATCCTATGTGGTCCTGGGTTCAAGGTTCCCAGCTCAAGCCCCAGTTTCTTTCATAGTTTCCAATTTCAGGGTCCCATCCGCTTCACCTCTTCAGCTCCCAGTGACAGCATTAAACTCTACCAGAAATTCCCTAGGAGGATGGGACCTGGCTAATCAGAAAGTGAGTGGAGGAGGTGCATATAAACCTGTCCAAGTGGAAGACAAAGATGAAACTCTTCATTTTGCCCTTGAAGGTGCTAGCAATGCTTCCAGTATCTCTTAATGATGAGAAAATTAACTCAAAGTAACTGGGAGAGAAACCGGTCTGAATGAGTAAATTGGCAAAATTATGAAATAATGCAGATGAACTCATTTTTATTACTCTCAGGTGAGGGAAAAAACATCAACCAAGATTGCTAAATGTTACCTAATGACGATCTTTTATTGAATCTCCTTCAGTGAGTAGTTAACAAATGATATGCCATTAGTCTAACTATTGTTTATATGTAAATGGTTGCAGCTAAGTGCTTGAGGGTGATTGGACACGTTTTTTCCCCCCCTTTGTTAGTGCAACCTCTTGTCTACTGTCTTATTGTTAATATTCTTGCTACACCTTTCCTCTTTGAATATAACAATAGCAAATTCTGGTTCAACTCATGTCCTTATCTCACACGAGGTTTTAGCAAGAGCTCAATTGAAAAAGTTTAGGAAGACTTGCTTCTTTTCACTGTATTTCGGTTGACAACTCATTTCTAAGAACTTGACCTACCTGGGGCGCCTGGGTGGCTCAGTCGGTTGAGCGGCCGACTTTGGCCCAGGTCATGATCTTGCGGTCTGTGAGTTCGAGCCCCGCGTCGGGCTCTGTGCTGACAGCTCGGACCCTGGAGCCTGTTTCAGATTCTGTGTCTCCCTCTCTCTGACCCTCCCCCGTTCATTCTCTGTCTCAAAAATAAATAAACGTTAAAAAAAAAAGATTAAAAAAAAAAGAACTTGACCTACCTACTAAGTACCAGCATTTTCACCTCAAATGACAGTGACTGTCATTTCAGCTCCTTTTTGCCCACTAGCCTGAACCCTCCTCTTGTCCTGTCCCACCTGTTGGGGACTTGTTTGTCTCCTTCCATCTTGGATGCCAGGACAGTTGTCACTGATGCCCTTCCTGGAATCCAGGAGCCCTCCGTCCCTGACCTTCCAGTGTGGTCTCCTGCAGATGACAACAAAGGCCTGGCCTTCACCTCATGCGTTTGTGTTTGCCCTCCTGTATGGTTTCACTCGGTGCGTTCATTTTCAGTACTTTCGTGCAGCTGAACATGTGGCTGTTGGTGAGGGAACGACTACTAGTTTTGCTCACTTAAGTAACTGTTAAAGGTCTGCTATTTCCTGCCCGTTTCTGCTGTGCACACCCAGCGCTACACTCCCCACCCCCTACTGGGTAAGCTCCGCCTCGTCCGATTTTACTCTGGGTCCTTGAGAAAGACACAGCTGCTGCTGGCGGGCTCCTCGGGGACGGGGACGCCCTGCAATTCCCAAGCTCTGGACTCTAGCTTGTGAGAAAGGAACACCTGCTCAACTAAATTTCCCTTCGCACTGCTTACGCATCCGATGGCAGGAGACGTGATCTTCGTCAGTGCCAAGCAAACTCAGAATTGCGGTTTCTCCGCCCCCGAAGGGCTTTCCCATTTTCTGACTCAGAGAAGGTGTCTCGGCTCTCGGGATGCTGTCTCTGTGATGTGTTCACATGTGTGTGATGGGGGTAAGGGTGGGGGTCCGCCCTGAGGAGGGATCC